GTAATGTAGAAGTTAGGAGCACAGGCCACAGAGTGAAGCTATGTTATTTCACCGTAAATCATAGCCTGTACCTCAGAGCCCTTTTCTGTAGAACTGGGGGTACTGTGAAGTCCACATGAGGCAATGCACAAGGTTGTGTGGCCCAGTATTTGACACATGTTAAATTCTATTTAAATGTTAGTCATTAGTATTGTTATTAATAAGTTAATCAGCAACTTTTCTTCTCAAATTTCTTTAAAAATTTTTTTAAACAATCTTATCGTGGTATAATTTCTGTACAGTAAACTACTCATATTTCAGATGTCCAATTTGATGAATTCTGATAGATGTCTACACCCATGAAACCACCACCACAGCCAAGACACCTAACATTTCCATCACTCCCCAAGAGGTGCAAATTTCAATACCCCCTTTACCCTCTTCTCAAATTTCTTATCCTCTTCTCTCCTAATCCAAAGATCGCTACATATTAAACCTAGAGTCCATAATCCAAAGACATCAATGGACACTGACATGCCAGCCTCATATCCAAGGTACAAGAGGAAACACGCACATCCGTGGCAAGGCTGGCCACAGACAGGCTGTAACTTAGAGGTACGAGCAGGCCAATGCAAGGGAACAAATCAAATCAAATTTGGAAAGAGTCGGGATACACAGACCCAATTTGGGACAAGTGCACAAAGATGTAGAAAAGGCTACAGCAAGACTGAAAACATTTAGGATGTATTAGGTAGGCAAATTCCTCATGGATGGGTCATCTGAGAAGCTCATTACAGAGGCATAATCTAGTAGGACAGAATAAAAGGGACTTAAATGATCAGACAGCCCATTGTTCACATCCTTCAGCTATGTGACGCTACAGGCAGGCAGCAATGAGTACCAGTGTTAGGGTGACTGCAGTGAGGGCTGAAAAAAGATGCACCTGAAAGGAATTTTGAGAATAGGATTTGGTGACATTGAATTTAGGTGGAGAGAGAGGAAGAAGTCTAGATGATTCCAAAGTCTGGCCATCATATGATTACAAGAAAGGTAAGTGTGTTACCAAAGTGGAGGTGGGAAAAATTGATCTTGTTTGTCCATTGACATTGTTCAGTTTACACTATGAATTTAGAGTGATAACATCACATCTACTTGAGATGCCCTTTGAGCCAAAAGCAACAAGATGCAATTTTTACAGGGGTTACAGTAAATTCCTACAGTTAAGTTAAGAAAAGAATTCAGTTGCACAAGTCCAGGATGTGGGTTATCTCCTGAACAGTTATCTCCTTGATGGTGGGTTTTTGTTGGCCACAGACAAAATTAATTATGTACCAACAATGTGCCCTGCTGCTGAGAGAATGCATTCCATGTTAGGCTGCATTAAGAGAAGTGCAGTCATCTGCTTGAGGGAGATTCCACGGTCCCAACAGATCGATGCTATGAGGTCACGTTTCGTGTCTCACCCAGGCGCCATGTTTCTAGAGAGGGGTAGTTAGAAAAATTAGAGTGTAACCAGGATGGTGAAGAGCCTGGCAATTATGTCCTGAGGGAAATGGTTAAGGAAGAATGGAACAAATTCAGGGGGACTATGATAGCAATGTTCAAATATTTTAAAGATTGTTATGTGGGAGAGAATAGGGGAATAAAACTATTTTTTATGATTGCTGTGGGAATAGACATTACAGAGTGCTTAAGGAAGCAAAAACATTTGTATAAATAAATAAGTAAACAAAGAAAACTGCCTAGAAAGATACAGGAGCGCCCATTACCAAGTGCGTCTGTGAGGAAGGTGTATAGTTGCTCACTTGCATTTTATATCCTGCACTAGGTGACTGAAGAAAGTTCTTTCTGATTGTAAGAAGCTCTAATTCCCTGAGTCATGGGTCCATTTAGGAGCAATGATGCCTTTCAATCTATGGTGATATGCTGGTTTCCAGAGGACAGAAGAGTTACACTGAGAGTAGTAAGAACTCCTCTGTAGATAATTACTGAAGTCATGTAAGTTTTAAACTTAGCATATAACTATCTCCCATGTGACTAAAGCCTCCCCTTAGAAACTACCCATAACCATGCAGTTTCTAATGACCCACTGATACTCTCTTTCCGGATGCCTTCTATTTCTGAAACCCTTTGTGAGTAAAGCACCATTTGGAATAATCTTGTCAAGGCACCTTAAACAGCTCACCTCAAACGTCACCTCCTCAGAGAGGTCTTCCTTGATGACCCAAGCTGGCCCGAGTCACTTTTTATCCCATTATCCTGTTTTCTTTCCCTTAAGTGTAGCACTTAACACCAACAGACGTTATTTACTTACGTGTTGTCTGTCCCACTCCCCACATACAAGCACTGTGAGAGAGGGGTCTTGTGTGTCTTTGTCACCCTAGCATTCAGAATAGTACCAAGCACGCAACAGAGATGTAATTAGTATGATTGGATTGATGAAACATTTAGGTAAGGTCTTGAGGGATTTCTGAAAGCTAACTCAGTCCTTGCTGCAGTGTCTGGTTGTTCTGTATTTTTATGTAATGTAGGGCGAAGCTCTGCCATGTTTGCCATCATGAGAGAGGTGGTCATACTCATGAGGGTATGAGGTCTTTAAGACAACTTTATGAATTTAAAGTCCATCAGTGAATGTTCTTTTAGCTATTCCATTCTCCCAAGACTAATCTGTTTCACTCGCTTCATCTTAGCATTAACTCTGAAATCCTTTAAATGTTGAGGTTCTCTGTCGAATCCTCTTTATCTTCTACATGACACATTCTTGGTTGCGGAGCTCAGAGTTTCACATGGGAGCATTTTCAAGCCAAAGGGCAATGTAGTTAATGTGTCACCAACAGAAAGTGGCTTTTCTTGAGTTTCTTTCCATTTTATATCATCTTCTCAGGAGCTAAATGGAATCAGAAAACCAGATGTGGCTGTCAGCCACCCTACTACACTTCCCTAGACTGCTTTTCAAAATTACCATCCTTCAAACCTCGTCCGTTTCCTCCTCAAGGAGATGGCTTTGTTTCATATTACATTGAGAAAACAGACGCTCTCAGTCACGAACCCTCTCATCTTCCAATCACCAAATCCATCCACCACCGTATCTACACGTAACCTTCTCTACCTTCCTTCTTATTCCCCAGTGAAGGCTCCTTGCTTCTACCCAAAGCCATCACCCATTTGTACTTTGGATCCTAGCCTTGCTCATCTATAAAGGATTTTGCTTCAGCAGTTAGCCTTGCTTTATCATCAGTTTCTCATTACCTATAAGGTTATTTCCATTGGCACATAAATAGGCTGCACAGTATTTCATTTTCAGCGGAAACAAACTCTCTAGCTCCCTCCTAACTTTCTGGTGTCCCTTCCTAGCAGAAGTTCTTTAAAGAAATGTCCTTAAGTCGTTGTCTTAGCTTTCTCACATTTTCTCCACAGCATGCTTCACTTTCCTCCCCAACACTTCACCCCTGTTGTCAAGGTCACCAATAACTCTCATGTTGCTAAATCCAGTGATTACTTCTAGGCTTTCCTTTGACTTAAGCTTCTTTTGGAATTTGTCTTGAATCTTTCTCCTCTTTTCCTTTTCTTTCCCCTTGGCTTCTGTGACTCTATCTTAGAAAGATTGAGTCATAGATTTTTGTAATTTATTGAGGCTGTGCTCCCAGGAGTAAGGGCATAAAGGAAGCAGAACAGAGCAGGAGAAGAATCTAGGCAAAGTCATGGTTTCAGGAGAAATTTAGCCTCAGCCTTTTCCCACCAGCTCTGGTATCTGATCTCCAGAACTGTAAGATAATAAATTTGTATGATTTGAAGCCACTAGGTTTGGGATAATTTGATAATTTTTGGAGGAAACTAATACAGTCACAGGCTTCGGATGAAATCTTTCCATTAGAATGGCTACCTGAGTATATTTTACCTTAGCCTTTACAAAAGGATGAGGCTTCCATGGTGGTAGATGTACTATCCCTTGTTCGGAGATAATAGCAATTCCCAGAGGAAAACGTGTGCGGAGTAAAACCTTTCCCGTGAATTCTAAGGGCAAGGGATTTCATTGTAAATATACTTACGTCTATTTTACATTAATTTACATCATTAACATACATCCACACCAAATACCAGGTGGTATTTAAGCATAAATCATAAACTGCCTAAAATTTCTTTTTATTTGTTTTTCTTGTCTTACGAAAACTCAATCATTTGTGAGGTCAAAACTCCCATGATTCCTTTTCATTTAACCTTTAATATTAAAATCCTGAAATGTGCAGTTGGTAATGAAATCTGAACGGTCAAAGAGAAGACTCCCTTTGTATCTTGAAAGGTACAATTAGATTTCGAATCAAAGAAGAAGACCGCATCTAGGGGATAATCCTGTGTCACTGGTTTATTGGATCAGAGGACCTGGAGGGTCTCTCTAACTCCTCTTACGCATGGCTCTTCCTGCGTCTGCCCCGCCTGCCGTTAGGGGGCACACATGGGCAGACCTTCCTTACCCAATCACGTCAGGAGTTTGTCTCATGAACCAACGTGGTGATTACACGGAGTGATGTTAAGGGCCACCCCCCACCCCACTCCCAGCCACGTAATGTAGACGTCTTATTGGCCTACATGTAAAAGCTCGTTTGGGATGAGCATGACGGGGGGACCTCAGATCTTTGGCTCTACTTCTGATTTCAGGAAATTAGCCCCTTTGCGTAGTTTTTAATGGTTTTGAGTCAATGGGTCACAATGTTAGGATACTCTTGAGTTGCTCAAGTGAGTTACGAATGGATCGTTAATTATGTTTTTCTATATCCTTGAAATGGTTTGTAATACAATTTTAATGAAGTCAAAGTACTTTAATTGAGAATTAAATTGTGCTTAGATTAACATGAAACTCAAATGAACTTTATAAAGATAATATTAGGTGTATGTGAAATAATTAAGGTCATATTGATGTTTTCTTAGGTTATATGTATCTCAGCGAAGGGACTTAGATATTTCTTCCTTCTCATTTGAAGGTGGATAATGTATGAGTTCATTAAATCTTTATATGTTTGCAGTTGACGGCACTAAATCTGGGAAACAACCTTTTAGAAGAAGTTCCAGAGGAGATGAAATACCTTACATCTTTGAAGACGCTCCATTTGTTTGGAAATAGGATTCACAGATTTGCATCTGGAGCATGTGGTACGGTAGTCAAAGAAGAGAGCATCATATAGTATCAAAGTTAATTTCCTTATATTGAACAATTCAGGGCTAACATGGAAAAAGGACTTTACATTTTAATCTTTTTTGGTTGGAGATATTTACACTTGAAATTAGGGAGTTTGGGGAACTTTTTTTTCAATGAATGTATTATATATTTACATATAGATCTAAGAAAATCAGTAAGCATTATTATTAGTAAATTTTCCCCTTTTCACAATCAGTGTACATTTAGACTGTCATCTGGGTAGACTTTCTCTGGGCCAGAGAGAAAACTAGTTGAAAATCAAATCAAGAAGCGCTCTCCATAGCTCTCCTTGTTCTTCACACTTTTTATACTGTCTCCAATACTAAGTCACAATCTTTGATCAAGATGCTAAGCTTAGAGATTGGGACATTGTGCTGTACACCAGAAACTGACACATTGTAATTGACTGTACTTCAATGAAAAAAAAAAGATGCCGAGCTTAAATCCACTTGGGGAGAATTTTATTTTATTTTATTTTTGGGGGGGCAGGTAATTAAGTTTTTGTTTATTTATTTAAATGGATACTGGGCATTGAACCTAGAATCTCGTGCATGCTAAGTATGTGCTCTACCACTGAGCTATCCCCTCCCCCTTTTTATTTTTAAAAATTAAAAAAAATTCTTTTTTTGGGTGGGTGTAATTAGGTTTATCCATCTATCTATCTATTTATTTTATTAAATTAATTAGTTTATTTAATGGAGTTTCTGGGGATTGCACCCAAGACCTTGTGCATGCAAAGCATGCACTCTACCACTGAGCTATTCCTGTCCCCCTAACTTGGGGAGAATTTTAAGGAAAAGATATAAGATCCAGTAAGTGGCAATTTTTTCTTTGTTTCCTTTTAATAATTTATCCATTCAATATGACACTGTTCTGTTCAATACAGGTAGCATATGCTTAAGGACAGAACACATAACAAAGAGATCTAGATAATATTTGTAGCTTCATCAACTCATGTAAGGCACTTCACTACTTTATGTGTCCCCAATAGTAAAATCGAACTATATAATAGAATTTATAAGGTTCTGTGAGCTTTTGAGGCATGGGTACTATGTATCACTGGCATCATCAAGCAGCATTTATTAAGGGTATTAGTTCATGGGGCACACAGGGATATATTCAGCAAAGAGCACAAGTAGATTCTGGTACCATCTCTCTAAAGTACTTGAAAATATTACATCATGTATCTTGGAGAAATATTTTTCGACAAAATAATAACTGTAACAAACTCTTAACTGATGGTACGCCCATTATATATACAAAGCTATAGATTCTGGGTCCAATTACAATTTACTTAGAAAATAGTGTACTGTTTTAAGGGCATGCAAACAGACAAGCAGACATGGTATTTTATGAACTATACTGAGGGGACAAGCTTAGGTAAAGCCTGGTGTGTATAAATGATAGTAAGCAACCTAGTTCATGCTACTTTAGGTTTCTGTAAAGAAATTTTTTTCTCACGTTGCCCTTATATTTCAGGTTAAAAAAATTTATATAATCTGTGTACAGTGCCCCTGAATGTCTGTAGTTTCCATATTTCTTGATTTGGTGCTGTTGAACTGAAAGTCCCATGTGAGTGACACAAATTATGTTCTGTGCCAGGTCCTCATTGTCCAAGGGCAGAAGCAGTTAGTGTCAAGGAGCTGTGTCCTCTGCGGCCTGTATTACATGGCATTGTCCCCCGGAGCAGAGTAGACTGGACCAGGGCAAGACATGTGTCCCAAGTTGGGTTAGTCACTTTCTCCTTCTTGGGGATTATGACAGTCCAAGACAGTTTAGTTGATCTGAGCTAACCACATGAACTAAGACAGAGGCCGCAAACCGGTGACCCAGGGGATGAATCTGCTTCACAGAATAGCTTGGTTCTGTTTTGTCTGCCATCCTAAAAATCTGAATTAAGGTCTCCAAATTTGCAAATCAAGAGAGTTCACATTTAAAGTCTGGACCTCTGGCTCTTTTTTTGTCTGTCTCTTAAAAAAGAAAGATTAGGTGAGACTGGACTCATATTCCCATGTGACAGCAACTACTGGGAGCTGGCTGAATGGCAGCTGCCCTGTGGGAAAAAGCATGTGCTCACCAGCTCAACCCACTCCTGCCGGCACAGGAGGGCACCCAGACACACTCCTGCTAGGCCCACTGCTGTGTTTTGAGTTCTCTTCTTGGTTCCTGTAGGCATTTCAGTTTGAGAGCTCTGTCTACTCCGTGATCATTCAAATGCAGGAGTTGTGGGATGGCTACGTGGATGCATGGAAAAAAACAGAAAATCTGTTCAAAAGAGCAAGAATGAGAGAGAGAAGGGGAGAGAGACAGAGACTATGAACATCAACCTGAGAGAAGTCATAATGAGAAATGAAACTCTGTGATTCCCAGAGAGTATAATCTACTAGACTTTCAGAAGCTGCTGAGAGGAGACAGACTATTAGCCTGGAGCGGACATGGGTCTCCTTGGACAATCATCACCTGGCTCAATGGTTCGGAAGAAGCATCAGAAGCCCTGGACGCCCAAGCACGAGCATTTCTGTGACTCCAAGAGCAGCCAAAGGACTATGTGTGTATACACAGCCAGGACATACAGCTGACCCCTGAACAACACTGGTTTGAACCGCGGGTCCACTAATTCTCGGATTTTTTTCAATTGTAAATACTGCAGTACTGCAGATCCCCGAGTTGGTTAAATTCCGGGAGGGGAGGAAGAGCAGGTGGGGGTGCCCACTAAAAATTATATGTGGATTTTCCACTGTGTGGAGGGTCGGCACCCCTAACGCCCCTACATTGTTCAAGGGTCTCCTGTGTGTGTGTGTGTGTGTGTGTGTGTGTGTGTGTGTACATATATATATGTTTAAAGTTATATATTATGTAGCTATGTGTACTTACGTATTTATAGTAATATGACTTCCTGCCGCCGCGCCCAGCATGTCGCAGGTAGGGTGCCGCGGGCCGGCGCAGCCTTGCACTGGCTTGTGGGGACGTCTAAAGCCAAACTCAACCCGAGAAGCCGCCCGGGGAGATGTACCTGGAAGTGGGGTACACCAAGTTGGGGAATCACCAACTTGGAGTTCTAGGAGCTGGTGGTGTTGCCCCGGGAGATCGACCTCGACAAGGGGCAGTTGAGCAGCCCCACGATGGTTTCCACTACCTCGACGTGCAGCATCGCGCCCCCTTAGCATTCTGCAAGGGAGAGGGGTACCAGGCCACCGCCGTGGGCCACACAGTACTCCTGCACAGGAGCAGGCAGTTAGGTCAAGTTCACAGACCCCAGTAGGTCGACTGTGTCTTGAGCCCCGTGCAGAAGCTGGTGACCGAAGAGGACTTGGTCGCATGAAATACAGCAGAGAATTCTCCAGCTCCTTTGAGTCTCCCGTGCAGATCAGCAAGCAGCTGTTTCTTTCTTTCTTTCTTTTTTTAAATTAAATTAAATTTTACTTTTCATTAATAGATTTTATTTTTTAGAGCACTATCAGGTTCACAGCACAATTGAGCAGAAAATAGACAGTTCGCACAGAGCCCTACCTACCTACATACTCCCCTACACTCAACATCCCTCATCAGTGTGGCATATTTGGTACAGTGGACGAACCAGCAAGGGCACATTATTACCAGCGGAAGTCCATAGTTCACATTAGGGTTCACTCTTGGTGTTATATATTCTGTGGGCTTTGACAAATGCATAACGACATGTAGCCACCACTACAGTGCCATACAGAATCATGTCATAGCTGTTTAATGTGCTAGCGGACATCTGCTCCTTCCACTTCGAGGAGACCCTGGCCCTGCAGTTGCGTGGACGCTAGAACACTCTCTAGGTCCACCGCACCCTCTTGGCCAG